AAAATATACAAACATATGGAAATTAAACAATATGCTCCTGAATGAACAGTGGGTTAATGAAGAGATTAGGAAGGAAATTAAAAGTTTCTCGAAACAAATGAAAATGAAAGCACAACATATCCAAACCTGTGGGATACAGTAAAAGCAGAACTAAGAGGAAAGTTGATATCAACAACTGTCTACATTAAACAAGTAGAAAAGCTTCAAATAAACAATCTAGTGATGCATCTCAAAGAACCAGAAAAACACCAAACCAAAATTAGTAGAAGAAAAGAAATAATAGGCCAGGCATGGTAGCTCATGCCTATAATCCTAGCACTCTGGGAGGCCAAGGCGGGTGGATTGCTCAAGGTCAGGAGTTCAAAACCAGCCTGAGGGAGACCCCATCTCTACTAAAAATAGAAATAAATGAATTGACCAACTAAAAATATATATATAGAAAAAGTTAGCCAGGCATGGTGGCACATGCCTGTAGTCCCAGCTACTCAGGAGGCTGAGAGTGTAGGATCGCTTGAGCCCAGAAGTTTGAGGTTGCTGTGAGCTAGGATGATGCCATGGCACTCACTCTAGCCTGGGCAACAAAGTAAGACTCTGTCTCAAAAAAAAAAAAAATAAATAAATAAAATAAAAAAAAACAAAAAACAGAAAAGAAAAGAAATAATAAAGATCAGAACAGAAATAAATGAAACTGAAACCAAAAAATACAAAAGATAAACAAAAATAAAATGGATTTTTTGAAAAGATAACCAAAATTGCCACACTAAAAAAATAGAGATGACTCAAATTAATGAGTTCAGAGTTGAAAAAGGAGACATTACAACTGTTACTGCAGAAATTCAAAGGATCATTAGAGACTACTATGAGCAACCGTAAGTCACTAAGTTGGAAAACCTAGACGAAATGGATAAATTGCTAGACACATAAAATCTACCAAGATTGAACCAGGAAGAAATCCGAAGCCAGAATAAACCAATAATAAGTAACAAGACAGAAGGAGTAATGGAAAGTCTCCCATCAGAGAAAAGGCCTGGCCGCAATGGCTTTACTGCTGAATTCTACCAAGCCTTCAAAGAAGAACTAATACCAATCTTACTTAAACTATTCCAAAAATTCCAGGAGGAGGGAATACTCGCAAACTCATCCTATGAGGCCTGTATTACCCTGATACCAAAATCAGACAAAAAAAAAACCCCAACAACAAAAAAAGAAAACTACAGGCCAACATCTCTGATGAACATACATGCAAAAATTCTCAACAAAATGCCAGCAAAACAAATTCAACAACACATTAAAAACATTACTCATCATCATCGAATGAGATTCATGCCAGGGATGCCAGGATAGTTCAACATATGCAAATCAATCAATGTGATACATCATATCAACAAAAGGAAGGACAAAAACCATATGACTTTGTCAACAAAATTCAACATCACTTCATGATAAAAACTCTTTAAAAAACTGGGTATAGAAGGAACTTAACATAATAAAAGCAATATATGACAGACCCACAACGACTATCATACTGAATGGGGAAAAATGGAAAGCCTTTCCTCTAACATCTGGAACAAAACAAGGATGTCCACTTTCACCCCTGTTATTCAACATAGTACTGGAAGTTCTAGCTAGAACATTCAGACAAGAAGAAGAAATAAAGGGCATCCTAATTGGAAAGGAACTCAAATTACCCTTGTTTGCGGATGATTTGATCTTATATCTAGAGACACCTAAAACCTCTACACACAAAAAATATTATTAGAACTGATAAACAAATTCAGTAAAGTTGCAGGATATAGCATCGACATACAAAAATTAGTAGAATTTATATATGCCAACAGTAAACAATCTAAAAAAGAAACTGAGAAAGTAATCCCATTGATGATAACTACAAATAAAATAAAATATCTAGGAATAAACTTAACCAAAGAAGTGACAGATCTATAATGAAAACTATAAAACATTGATGAAAGTAATTGAAGATGACACCAAAAAATGGAAAGATATTCCATACTCATGGACTGGAAGAATTAATATTGTTAAAATGTCCATACTACCCAAAGCAATCTACAGGTTCAATGTAATCCCCACCAAAATACCAATGACATTCTTCACAGAAACAGAAAAAATAATCCTGAAATGTATATAGAACCACAAATAAAGATCACTGGTAAGGGTAACTACATAGACAAATATAAAACAAATATTAATATATTAAATCTCTAACCTAGAAATATTAATGTGATGTATTTTTGTGACATTTTTCTTCTACCTAATTTATTAATAGAGGACAGATCCATAAAGCAATAAATATAGTATGTATTGATGGGCACATAATGTAAAAATATGTAATATGTATAACAATAATACCTAAAAGGGGGGTAAGGGAATAGAAGTTTATTGTAAATTTTTTATATATAGTTGAAATTATATTGGTATTAAAGCTAGATGATTTTAAGATAAGATGTTAATTATAATCACCAGAGAAACCACTAAAGAAATAATTCAAAAATAAATAAGAGAATTAAGGTGGTACACTGTAAAATATATAACACAAAAGAAGGCAGTAATGGAGGAATATAAGATCAAAAAACACACAAGACATAGAAAACAAAGAGCAAAATGCTAGACATCAATCCTAGCTTATCAGTAATCACATTAAATATAACTGAATTAATCAAATCAAAGGGAAGAAATTGTTAGAATGCATAAAAAAGATCCAACTGTATGCTTTCATAGGACACACTTTAGATTCAAAGATACAAATAAACAGAATAAAAAGACAGGAAAAGATATACCATGCAAACAGCCATCAAAGCTGAAATGGCTAAATAAATATCAGACAAAATAGACATTTAAAAAAAAGAGCACATTTTATAAATTTAAAATGGTTAAAATGGTTCATTTAGCAGGAAGATTTAACCATTATAAACATATGCACGTAACAGAGCTCAAAATATATGAAGAAAAACCTGACAGAATGAAAGAAAAAATAGTTCAACAATGAGTATTGGAGATGTTAATACCACACTTTCAACAGTGGAGAGAACAACTAGGTTAGAAGATCAACAAGGAAATAGAAGAAGTGAATAACACTATCAACTAGACCTACTAGACAACTTCTAAGATAATCCAACATCAGCAGAATACACATTCTCCTCAACTACACAAGAAATATTATCCAGGTTAAACCATATGTTAGGCCATAACAAAAAAGCCTCAATCAATTTAAAGGATTGGAATCATACAATGTATGTTCTCTAGCTACAATGGAATAACATTAGAAATAAATATTAGAAGGAAATTTGAGAAATTAACAAATTTGTGAAAATGGAACACATTCCTAAATATCCATTGGGTCAAAGAAGAAATCACAAGGGAAAATGGAAAATACTTTTGAGATGAATGAAAATGAGCACATACCAAATTTATGAGATTCAGTGAAAGCAGTGTTGAGAGGGAAATTTATAGCTATAAAATGCCTGGAGAGAAGAGAGAAAAGATTTCAAATTAATAACTCAACTTTTTACCTTCTTTAATACACCATATTAAAAGAATAAAGGCCAAAAACCACACAAACAACTGGAAAAAGAAGAGCAAATTAAACCCACAACTAGCAGAGGAAAGGATATAATAATGATTAGAGTGGTGATAAATGACATAGAGAACAGAAAAACAACAGAGAAAAATCAATAAACCCAAAAGTTGGATCTCTGAAAAGATCAACAAAATTGACAATCCTTTAGCTAGACTATGAAAAAAAAAGAAGATTCAAATTTCTATAATTAGGAATGAAATAGGAGACACTACCAACCTTACAAAAAGAAAAAAGATTATTGGGGAAAACTGTGAACCACCATATTCCAATAAGTTAGATAACATAGATGAAATAGACAAAGTTTTAGAAACACACCAACCACCAAAACTGACCAAACAAGAAATAAAAAACATGAATAAACCTATAAGAAGTAAAGAAATTGACTTAGTAATTTTAAAATTTCCCACCAAGAAAAGCCCAGGACCAGATTGCTTCTCTGGTGAATTCCACTAACTCTTTGAATTAATACCAATTCAGAATTAACACCAATCATTTACAAACTCTTCAAAAACAGAAGAGGAAACACTTCCCAACGCAATCTATGATTCCAGTACTACCCTGATACCAAAACCAGACAAAGACATTACAAGAAAAGAAAACTAGGCCCTAATATTCTTTATGAACATAAATGCAAAATTCCTCAGCTGAATATTGGCAAACGTAATCCAGCAGCATATAAAAAGAATTATATCCCATTACCATGTGGGAATTATCCTAAGAATGCAAGATAGGTTCAACAGACAAGAATCAATCAATGTAATACACCATATTAAAAGAATAAAGGCCAAAAACCACATGACCAACTCAATGCAGGATGAGCATTTGACAAAAGCCAACATACTTACAGGAGAAAAACACTCAAACTTGGATGAGAAAAGAACTTCCTCAACCTGATAAAGGCCAAATGAATAACCCACAGCTAACATCATATTTAATGATGAAAGACTGAATGCTTTCTGCATAAGATCAGGATCAGGATCCAGATAAAAATGTCCATTTCTGCCACTTCAATATTGTACTGGAGATTCTAGCTAGGGCAATTAGGAAAAAAGAAAAAGGTATCCAAATTGGAAAGGAGATATAAAACTATATTTGTAAATGGCATAACCGTCGGGGGATCACTTAACTACCTAAGACCTGAAGATTTCCACCTTTCATCTGGAAGCCCCAACATCTTCCTCTTTCTCATAATATTCAATTAGATTATTGTTGCTTATTTGTCGTTGAGAGTGGACTGTGTAAGCGGTCTGCCTTCACTCCCCTGGAGATGCAGTGGACCTGAGCCCAGATCCTGTCCTCAGAAACCCAGCAATTGACTGGTACCCGCCTTCTTGGACCCCGCGGCCATCTTTTCCGGCATTCTTGCAGAATTCTGGCGCCTCGTGACCTCAGATCCCACCTCACAATGCTGGAGGTCTGCGTCAGCCTGCACGAAGAAAAGGTCGCCTGGTGAGGGCCACCTGCCGGGCCAGGCCTTTTTTGTGTCACCTCAGGCTCCTCGTCTGTCACCAGGCTACCAGTCCCCTGCCTAGGGGTACCGGTCCCCGCTGGTCTGGAAGAGGAGGGACCGGACTCCGCAGCCATCACCCTATCGGCTGGCGGTCTGCCACACACGCATGGGGTCGTCCGCATCCAAGGCTGCCCTCGGAGCAACCACCGATGAGCCGACAGAGCCTGAGCCGAAACACCTGGCGGGTGAGAGGGCCGGGTGTGGGCAGCCACAGGGCTAGCTTGGTCTGAATGGGTAAGAACCTCTAATGGCAGCACCCTACTCTGCTCCCTCCCAATCACCCTCCCCCCAGTTCCTCCCTTCTACCCGTACCCGGAGGAGGTGGAATTTGAATTGCCACTTCTAGTAATCTTTGATTAAGCATAGAAGGGAACCACTGGCATTTTTAACTCCAAATTTCAAAATATTTAAAATGTATTCAAATAATTTAGATAGAAGACAAGGAGATGGTGGATTTATAACCCAGCCTTCTTAGAAGGCACATCTCCCAAGTCCCTCCCAGCCCCCCTATAAATCATGACATTCAGTAAGACTTCTCAATTACAGGAAGGAATCAGTAGATTCTCCCATAGGTATTCCTAACCTAAGGACCATGAATGGGCTTTAGAGTGTACATGGCAACATTTTTGTGCCCTTGTGTATGTTTCTAGGGGGAAGAATTTTGATTCTCAAAGGCTAAGCTCCCAGTCTAGCTCCATTCCCTATTGTTGGAGCTCATAGTGAGCAGAGCAGTAACTTCTAAACAATATGTGCTATTAGCAATATACATAAATCCTACTGTTATTGAAAACTTTATAGCTGACTTTTCTGGTCACCGCTTTGTTTGGATATTTTGCTTAAAAACTATTTTTTTTTTTTTAAGAGACAGTCTCTCACTCTGTTACCGGGGCTAGAGTGCCGGGGCGTCAGCCTAGCTCACAGCAACTCAAACTCCTGGGCTCAAGGGATCCTTCCGCCTGAGCCTCCCGAGTAGCTGGGACTACAGGCATGCGTTGCCATGCCCGGCTAATTTTTTTTATATATTTTTAGTTGTGCAGCTAATTTCTTTGTATTTTTAGTAGACACGGGTCTCGCTCTTGCTTAGGATGGTCTGGAACTCCTAAGCCCATACTATTCACCCGCCTGGGCCTCTCAGAATGCTGGGATTACAGGCGGGAGCCACCGCCCCAGGCGGCACCCTGCCGCTTAAAAACTATTAATTGCCACCGGGGGTAGTGGCTCCTTGAGGGATCTTCCTGCCTCAGCGTCCCAGAGTGCTAGGATTACAGGCGTGAGCCACCGTGCCCGGCCGAAATTAATAGTTTTTAAACGGCCCAGTGGCTCAAGCCTGTAATTCTAGCACTCTGGAACGCCGAGCCGGGAGGATCGCTCAAGGTCAGGAGTTCGAGACCAGCCTAAGCAAGAGCGAGACACCACCCCCACCCTCTACTAAAAATACAAAGAAATTAGCTGCACGACTAAAAATATATAGAAGAAAACTCAGCTGGTCATGGTGACACATGCCTGTAGTCCCAGCTGTTGGGGAGCCTGAGTTGAAAGGATCACTTGAGCCCAGGAGTCTGAGGTTGCTGTGAGCTGGGCTGACGCCACAGCACTCTAGCCCAGGAAACACAGTGAGAGACTGTCTCCAAAAAAAAAAAACTATTAATTGCTTTCTGAAGTTTTATCTTCCTGTTATCATGATAATGTGCATGTATTACAGCAACTAACAATTTACCAAGTTAAATAGAGAGTTTGCTGAGCATTATTCTGGGCAGGCCATGTACTAGATTTCCTGTATATATTTTACAGCCCTGGATGGTTATGTAATATGTGCCAGAATTGGCTTCTTTTTTTTAAATAAGAAAAGTAGTTTTATTTTTAAAGAAATTATTCAATACATAATTTATTATCATAATTAAGCTTAATTTATATATAAAAATATCTTCTTGGATTGGGCACAATGCTTTTTTATTTCAGCATATTATGGGGGTACAAATGTTTAGGTTACGTATGTTGCCTTTGCCCCCCCCCCCAGAACTTCAAGTGAGTCCATCCCCCAGACAGTGCATCGCACTCGCACTCATTACGTATGTATATGCCCATCCCCTCCTCCCCCCTCCCACCTGCCCGATGCCAGATAAATGTTATCTGAAGACATTAAGGATGAACACCAGTTAGCTATGTGAAGGCATCATAGAAGGGAAATAGGCCACTTAAGTTGGTACCATGATAGTCTAAAGGTTGACACAGGCTGAAATCATGGGGAAACAGAAACAAATAACTTGTAGAGGAGACTGTTTACAGAAAGGGGAATGAAGCAGACTTAGAGATTTTTAAAAATGTAAAAGAATCTCATTCTTCCTAACCTAACAGCTGGCATATATTAGTCCTTGACATAGAGTACATACACTTGGTGAATAAGTGAATCTGGGTCTACAGTTAGAGTCAGCCTATTGCTCCAGTCCACTAGCATATTTGTTAAGCATCCCCCTCAGTACCTATCCTACTGCTATGCATGTGAAAATGCTGATTAATGAATAAGTGCCATGGATGAAGTTGTTTTGTAATGATGGTTTATAGACAATTTTGAAAGCAAAGAGGATTTTGAACTGATAAAAAGTAGGGAATCATTGCATGTTCTAAAATGGGAAAATGAAATGATGAAAATTAACTTTTGAGGGGCGGTATTAAGTGAATTGATGAATGGTTATAGCTCTGAGACAGGGAATTAGGAAGTTGTTGCAATAAACTAGTACAAGGTTATGAGGAAGTGGACTCAAGAAGCAATAAATGGATAAAGGATGCAAATAAAATGCTGAGAGATAGGATGTTCCTACAAGGGAAGTTCCTACTGAACTTACATGGAATGACACTTTTCTTGAGAGAAGCAAGTATGCCAGTGGTTAATAGCTTGGTCTTCAGGGTGAAACGAATCTAATTTGAAATCCTAGCCCTGCCACTTGACTACTTTTATGACCTCAGGTATGTTACTTATCTTCTGGAGTACTATTCATTCATTTAACAAGTATTTACCGAAACCAGTTATGTACCATCTACTGTGCTGGATTGTGGTGACCAAAATGGACTCAATCCCTGCTTTCCTCAAGTATGCAGGATAATAGAGTAAACAGGCATGAAATATCATGTAACATATGTCAGTACATATTATATGTAATGAAGAAAATGTTTTTATATCTGTTCTTAAGTTAAAATTACCAATTTTGGTTTTGAAAATTATTTCTCAGTCTGCATTTTAATGCTTGTCACTGTCTCTTATTTAGATCTAATACAGTACATAAATGAAACTAATATGAGCGTTAAGCATCTGGCTGATGTTCTTTTTGAAAAAACTGGGAGCAGCAGCTGGGTGGTAGTGTTCAAAGCCCTGGTTACTGTGCATCACCTCATGGTATATGGAAATGAGGTGAGTGTGGTATATATTCTAATGGTAGTTGTTTCCTTCCTTCTAGTACAGACAAAATCGAGCATGTTCAGGGTGGTTGCCATAGGCCCTTCCTTCTAGTACAGAGGACTGTAAGCACAAAGTTGCAAAATGTTCTTGGTTTGTCAAGGGCTTACTACTTCTTATTTTCATTAGTGATAAGTGGGGGAAATGAATAGCAGTATATATTACTTTAAATGTTTTTTCTGTTTTTAGTAATGAAAATATCTTTGCAATCAGTATTATTTGAGGTATACCATTTTAGCCACTGGTAAAGTAGCCACCAGATAATAAAGTAGATAATAGAGTTTAGATTAATATTTCTTTCAATATTTAGATGATTTAGACCAAGAAAAGCCTCTTGAAGATGTATTACTTCATAACTGCTTTACTTTGCCAAAGAAGACTGGAAATCTAAGTGTATTCATCCCCTATCGATCTCTCCTCATATATATACACTCTTCATATTTTACAGAACAACTGAAATGCTCTGTAACATTACATTACTTATTATTTTCTGTTTAAAATTTACAAACATTTTATCTCAGTAAACTGCAATAAAAAATCGGGGTTTAGAAATTGGCTGAATTTTGAAAGTTATTATAAAGCAACAGTAATTATACAGTACAGTATTGGTAAAAATATAACATATGTAAGTGGCACATAATAGAGAGCTCAGAAATAGAACTATACTTACATAGGAGTTTGGTGGCTCTTAAAAAACATAAAGGAAGGTATGGCAGAAATAATTTAAAATAAAGGCTGTTAGCACAAATGGCATCCCTATGGAAAAAATAGAATGAGATCTTTATCCTATTCCATATACAAAAATACCACACGCATGAAATATCTAAATGTGAAAATTAAATTTTAAAATTGAAGAAAATGTAGAAGAATATGCTTATGACATTCAGGTAGGGAAGACACCATAGTTGAAAGAAGGTATTTCCAGTATATATATAATATTACAGCCCAAAGGTTAAATATTCCGAATACATGATTACTAAGAAAAAAACTATACAATGAACTAATGAGCAAAAGAAATGAACAGAGAATTCACAAAAAAGGAAACCCGAATGCCTGATAACCATCTGAGAACATGCTTATATTAAGAAAATTTAAAATATCTGACAGTATGAAGAGTTGGGAAGACCTTGAGAAATGAGACCTCACATACCCTGTACATGACATGTAAATTATTAGCTGCTGCATTTTATCACTGTGAAGAGGAGAACATTGAGACACATTTAACAAAGTTGAAAATGCCCAGCATAGTAACCCAGAAAATCCACTTTTCACATCATATTAATAATAATGAAAAACTAGAAATCGCCTAAATTTCCACCAGTAGGGAACAGATAAAATGAAGTGTGTTTATTGGAAAGAGTTTGTGTCTGTTTGGCTGTTTCTCAGAAGCAAGTGGCTGACATTGACTGGTTGGTGAGTAAGGCCAGTGGTAACTGATGGATTGACTGGGTTTAAACTGGTTTTGGGTGGCTACTTGTTTGTTGCCATGGCTATAGGTCAGTCCTTTTCTACATCTGAGGCAACTTTCACCAGGTGTTTTCTGTTTAAATTTGCCTTCCTTCAACTATGTTCAAAAGGAAAACTATTTTTTTTTTTTTTGAGACAGAGTCTCACTCTGTTGCCCTGGCTAGAGTGCCATGGCATCTGCCTAGCTCACAACAACCTCAAACTCCTGTGCTGAAACAATCCTCCTGGCTCAGCCTCCCTAGTAGCTGGGACTATACGCATGTGCTACCATGCCTGGATAATTTTTTCTATATATATATTTTAGTTGTCCAGATAATTTCCTTCTATTTTTTTTTAGTAGAGATGGAGTCTCACTCTTGCTCAGGCTGGTCTCGAACTCCTGAGCTCAAACGATTCGCCTGCCTCAGCCTCCCAGAGTGCTGGGATTACAGGCGTGAGCCACCACGCCTGGCCTGTAGATTTATTTTTAAAGTGTGGGTCAAGAGGAATTGTTTAATAATTGCTCTCAGGTTGATCACCCATTTTTCAGATGGTTAGAATAATTATCTAGATAATTTTCTTTCTTTATTTATTTACATTTCAGAATGTTATGAGAGTAAAAATTCTTTGGTACATAAATTGCCTTTGCACTACCCAAGTCAGAGTTACAAGTGTGCCCAACCCCCAGAGAGCACACACGATGTCCATTAGGTGTGAATTTGCCGATTCCTTCCTCCCCCCTCCCATCTTCCCAACACCTGATGAATGTTACTACTATATGTGCACATAAGTGGTGAGTACCTGTGGTATTTGTTTATCTCTTCTTGAGATGCTTCACTTAGAAGAATGAACTCCAGCTCCATCCAGATTAATACAAGAGGTATTAGTTCACCATTTTTTATGGCTGAGTAGTACTTCATGGTATACATATACCACATTTTATTAATCCACTCATGTATTCATGGGCACTTGGGTTGTTTCCACATCTTTGCAATTGTGGATTGTGCTGCTGTAAACATTCAAGTGCAGATGTCTTTTTTATAGAGTGTCTTTTGTTCTTTTGGGTAGATGCCCAGTAATGGGATTGCTGGATCAAATGGTAAATCACTTGTGTTGCTTTAAGATATCTCCATATTGCTTTCCACAGAGGTTGTACTAGTTTGCAGTCCCACCAGCAGTGTAGGAATGTTCCTCTCTCTCTGCATCCACATCAACATTTATTGTTTTGGGACTTTTTGATAAAGGCCATTCTCACTGGAGATAAGTGATATCTCATTGTGGTTTTCATTTGCGTTTGCCTGATGATTAGAGATATTGAGAATTTTTTCATATGTTTTTGGCCATTAGTCTATCAGAGGGCCAATCAACCACAGTCTCATTCAAATAACCAGGCTGCTACAGATGACGTCAACCCACTTATACCTCTGGAAATGTGCCAGTTCTTGAGTCCAGTGTTCCCTAAATCCTATATAAGATCAGCAGCTGCTCTGTGAGAAGTCACTGTGTCTGAATGGCACAGCTCTCTTACTAGAGAAAGCAATGCATTCCCATTTTGTCTTTTTATTTCATATATTGAAAGCTCATCATCCTTTGGAAAAAAATGTTTTAAGTTCCTTAAATTTACCTCCCTTATATTTTACTCTCCTTAATAAAATACAAAGACTTTTAAAAAAAGTAATACTTTCAGAAATTTTATATGAAACATGATTTTCAAAGTTTTATATTTTATATTTAGAATTTTGCTCAATCCTAAATTCAAACACATTTGATCTGGGAGGCCGAAGCGGGAGGATTGCTTGAGCTCAGGAGTTTGAGACCAGCCTGAGCAAGAGCGGGACCCAATCTCTACTAAAAATACAAAGAAATTAGCCGGACAACTAAAAATATATAGAAAAAATTAGCCAGGCATGGTGGCGCATGCCTGTAGTCCCAGCTACTCGGGAGGTTGAGGCAGGATCACTTGAGCCCAGGAGTCTGAGGTTGCTGTGAGTTAGGCTGACGCCAGGCACTATAGCCCCAGCAACAGAATGAGACTGTTAAAAAAAAAAAAAAAACAAAAAACCAAAAAAAAAAAAAAAACAACAACAACAAAGAAAAACACCTCACATTTGGAAGTCCTGACTTAGAGATGGATAAGTAGTATAAAGCTTCTGTATTTTCTAACACATTTTCAAAGATTAGGTATATTCACTACCAGTAGTTTTAAGAAGTCATCAGAAGTTATCTTATACATGAAGAAAAAAAATTCTCTGAAATATCTATTTGTTCTATTTAGTTAGACATACATTAACTATTTCACCAGAAACTTCTGCTTTGGAAACATTTTAGTAGGAATAAAAAAATGTATCTTCAGAAATAATACTGATTCCTGTAAGTGCCATTTATTATCCAGAGATAGTTCAGATATGGTTTGATGAGAGTTAATTGTTCAATACTATTTAGTACAAAAGAAGTGGAAGATAAGGCATCTAATTGCAGGAGGCATTTTTAACCACCTTCATTTTCTTTGCAGGGGATCTGCTTTGAACAAAATGAAATATTCACTGTTTGTTCTATCTTACGTTTATTTAGTAAGAACCATTATCATCCATCCCAAGCACACAACTTTGCAAAATAACAAAGATGTACAAAGCAACAATGGCCTTCATTCTAAAAGCACAGTGCTTCAAGGAAGCAGTTCTTGTTTTATTAAGTGCTTTCAGTTTTGCCTTAGGACCTCTTTGACTTGAGAAGGTTTTTTCTTTGAGGTGCACACATGATCCTTTTATATTCATTATTATATGCTATTAATCGATGATGATGGAGAAATGAGTGGATCCTTTCCTCTCCTTTTTCCTGAGTAACATTCTTTTGGGCTTAATTCTAATAATTAGTTTTGAGGAAAATGAATTGATGTACAGTACTACTTTCTGTGATTCTGTGGAGTGAAAATACATCAGGTTTTCCATCATAAACATCTATCTCTAGAATTTTATGTATTTTATGCAACCACTGTAAAAATATTCCCTGGGCTGGAGTTTAACATTTCTTTTTGCAATTTTTTTCTGCCCCTCTTTTTAAATCTTGGGAAAAAATGAGAACATATTTTAAAGAAAAGTTCTTTTCCTGTTGTTAAGAATGGAAAATGTAAAAAGACAGTATTACCAAATGAGGAAAAAATTTAATATCAGTGTTAATTGTAGTTTTAAGTAATGTGAGAAAAGCTGCTTGCTCTGTAGGAGAGTTTTTTTCTAATAGCAATAACAAACAAAATATACTTAAAAATTAAAAATATGTAAAAATCTGGCCTTTGAAAATACTATAATACTCTAGTTAAAGTGCTCTGATGCCTCAGGTTCTAGCATATTCTGAGGTAAAAGTTGAACATAGAATGTAAGGTTAAAGCTCTTTCTCCTATCTCATTCACTTTTTTAAACATTACCACCTAGAGCTTGAGAAACTTAGTACAGGGTTTCTGAAAAATGCAGAGTCTGAGGTACGTATGTTCAAGCTCTGATTTAGTCAGAAATTAAGGAACTCAAATAACATTTCTTAGTACCAGGCTTTGAGAACTCTAGTGAAGCAGATTCCTGGAAATACCTTATAAAGACTCGCTTATTAAAAAAAAAAGACTCTTTTATTATAGTAAATAGTCTTTAAATGTTTATGTAACAATAAAAAGCATAAATTATACTATTCACCTATATTCAGGCATGCTCAATCCTAAATATTCCTCACTGTTACCAAAATATTATTGGCCAACTCAATTAATTGATTCCGTTTTTGATTCATTCATTCATTCAGTAAACATTTATTGAGTACCCAGTATTGCCACATTACATGATACAGCTCTAAAAAGAAAGTAATTCTTGTTCTTTCAGAACTTACAGTTTAACAGAGAAGACAAACGCAAAACAGTTAATTATCACAAAACTGGATAAAGGTTATGTTAGGAGAAATGACTTCCTTGGGGATGCACATGGGTGATAAAGTCTTCAGTGAGTTTTGTGTCTTCCAGCAAGAGTGATTAATAAAGTGCTCACTTATTCTGATGAAACTTTGTGAAAACTTAGGGAAATTTTTAGAACTGAGACTAGCCCAGTAACTTCTCTCTATCTACACCTAACCTCTCTATCACAATGGAAAATATTCAAAACTCAGCTAAATCTCATTTTATTGATGTTTTAATCAATGCTTAAAGATATATTTACTCAACTATGCAGGAAAGAGAGAGGTTCAACAATGTGTCCTTTTAAGAAAAACAAAATGATGCTTAATAAAAAAGTTGTCAGAATCCTTAAAAAATGACGTATAATTGATTATACAACTAAATGCTGTATAACATTAACCTGTTGTATACCAACAAGGCTAGATCTCAAAAACAATGCTAATAGAGAAATCAAGTTGTATAATGACATTTAGTACAATACAATTTACATAGAATTTAAAATACAATTTTTGTCCATGGAACAACTACATGTGAAACTATAAGGAAAATAGACTTTAAAGATAGCACATTAAAATTATGATACCGGTTACTTCTAGGTAGGAAAAGAAGGAAATGGACCTTGGGGATGGGGCAAAGGGTACTTTAACTTTATCTGTAATATTTTATTCCTCTTATTTTAAAAATAGACTTGAGACAGATATGTCAAAAAAGTTAGCAGGTATTATTTCTAGGTAGTGGGGTACACAGATGTATCATATTACTCTTTGTATTTTTCTGCAGTTTAAAAATTACTCAGAAGAGTGGAATGTCTAGATACAAAGTCTTGGAGGAAAAATGGTACTTATTCATATGAGCTTTAATGTTTAATTCCTTGTTTATTTGGGGGAGTAGATAAACAGAGGAAAATTGGCAGCACTGCAGATCCTTGTGTTCGATATGATCGTACTCAACTTAATCAATGCTCCTGAAATAGAAACTATGTGATAGAGCTATGTTAAAATATACATTTATTATGACAAAATCGTTAATAAACTCTCTTTATATACAGGAACTAATTTTAGAATTTGTCATTTGTTTGACAGCGTTTTATCCAACATCTTGCATCTCGAAACTCTTTGTTCACCTTACACAACTTCCTGGATAAAAGTGTCATAGAAGGTAAGATGATTCTTTGGTGGAAATATTTCTGTGTGGCAAAGAGGGAAAAGCCCTGAAAACCATGCCTAGTTAAAAAAAAAATGGTTCTAAAATATGAAGGATGTGGTGTGTTACATATTTTATGAAAGTAAATAATCCCAAAATTCATTGATAGAACACACATTTGAATGCTTACTAAGAATAGCAGAATATGTATGTGCTAGAGACAAAGAAGTTAATGAGACCTCCAGTAAAGACTCAGCGAGGCCTCTTTTTTTTTTTTTTACTTATTTTCTCTATTGTTTTTCCTTCTCTCTCTCTCTCTCTCTCTCTCTCTCTCTCTCTCTCTCCTCTCTGTTTACAAATCCTTGTGTTGAGGGCTGACTTTCAATAAATCTCAGCAAGGGATCTTCTCTGTGAGGGAGCTGCTCCCCTAGGTACAGAACACCGACCTAGCAGCAGGTCGTCTACGAATGTTTAGCGCCAGATTCCCCACGAAGGTGCCTTTCGTGATGGGCGTGGGGGCGGCCGCCCTTCTGGCCACGCTCCGTTTCCCAGGACAAGGAGAGCTCAGCAATGGACCCGGTCCCAGCGCCAGGGCAGGGGCCTATCCACAATGCGCCAATGGGGGCCCATGTGCCCCTGTCCGCCTGCAGGGCAGGCGGGAGGCCGGCTATCTGAGGCCAACAGAGGCTCCCCAGCGCTGCCATATCATTCTGCCTGAGCGAGATTCTGATTTAGAGGCATTCTGTCATAATCTCACAGATGGTAGCTTCGCCCCATTGGCTCCTCAGCCAAGCACATACTCTTAAACCACTTCTCTGCCTGAGTTTTTAACTCTTTCCACTTCTCACCAACTATCTCTGTGCTTTCCTTTTCTTTTGCATTATTGTCTGTCATTCCCCGCCGGAATGTACACCCTAGGAGGGCAGGAATTTTAGTTTGTTTTGTTCACTGCTGAACTTTTAGCACCTAGGACATGGCCTAGCTCATAGTAGGCACTCAACAATTATTGAATCAATGAATAAATTGAATCAATGAATCAGCATATGTTTGGAGGTTGAGTAGTAAGAAGCTGCCTTTCTCTATTTTCTCTATGAAGTAGAGGGCAGTTCATTTGCTGAGTGGTGGGAGGGTAAAGGAGGACAGTGGAAATGGGATGGGGAGAGTAAGGAAAATGCTGAGAATTTACAATGGAGTTAGTGGAAATGTAAAAGGAACTGATAAAATTCAATTATTTCATCTGTTCAGAGATGTTGCCATCAACACCACATTAAGGAGTGATATCAAGGCTTTGAGGAAATAAACAATAATCTTTAACAGAAAGCTTGGGGAATGTCAGACTAGATTATTAAAGGCCATTCTAATTTTTATGCTTCAAAGATATTGTTGAGGTATACCGGTGATTGTGGAATTAGTCTTTGCATTTATTGACATATTGTAAAAAGTTAATATTGGTTGAATTGGATATAATCAAAATGTCTCCTTTTTAGGGTACACTATGTCAACCTTCATCAGACGATACAGTAGGTACTTGAATGAAAAGTCACTCGCATATAGACTCATCGCATCTGACATCACAAAAACCAAGAGAGGGTCAGTAAATATCATTAGTTTCTAAGCAAAAAACACTGAAATTCATATGTGGCCTACTTTGTAGTTTGTCAAAAACAGTTCTATTTCAAAATGTTGATGTTACAGCACTTCTCAAACTCTTAATTATTGATATTTATGAATTTCTTTTATCTTTTATAGGATACATGGTATGATGAGAACTATGAAAACTAAAGAGCTGCTAAATACACTTCCAGTTATTCAAACCCAGTTTGATGCTCTTCTTAATTTTAATGTAAGAGCTTTATAAATCCTTTAAAAGGCATCATTTAACTGTAGGTGGGAGAAGGAATTTTTTAACTGGTGGTAATTGATTACTATTTTATTTAATTTCTAGGCAAATCCTGACGAACTAACAAATGGTATAATACATGCTGCTTTTATGCTCCTCTTTAAAGATGCTCTTCGTCTCTTTGCAGCCTATAATGAAGGGATCCTTAATCTGCTAGGTAGGATAAAGAATAAGCATTACTTCATTACTTTTTAAAAGATAAAATGGTAAAAATAATTTATTTGTAGAAATCTTTTACAAAAGATTGCTAACTTGCTACATTTAGACTCATATTTGATTTGGATTCAAAATAGAAGATCCTTGCAGAGTCAAGTATATTTTTAAATCATGAGATATTATGTTGCTTCATTGGTTAAAATTATTTGGCTAATTAGGCACAAAACTTTTCAATTTTTATGTAAGTGCTAACTGATATTTCTGGGAGATTTACTGGAGAATCAATATGGGGTTGCTATATTTAAACATTATACATTAAGGCCCATTTTTGCCAAGATCGAATAACACAGTTCTGACTTGCCCAAGAAGGTAAAGCCTATAATGTAATTGTTGTTGATTATATATATGCATTTTTTTAGGCTTTTTAGGAAATTACTGTCATCATTTAGCCCTAATGAATGATTCATTTCATTACAAAGTTTCTCTGAACTTTGTTGATGAAAATTTGAGATCTTTTCTTATACTGAAGAAATACGTAGTACATTTGTAGGGTTATAAGAGGGTAGGAAACAAAGCCCCTTCCTTCAAAGAACTGCAAAGCTCAATGTTAATTTAAAAGACTATAGGCTAGAAGTTATAGAAATTAAAATCTAAACTATCTGCTATTAAGTTCTGTATATATTCCCAGCACTGGTATTTGGTATACAGTAGTGACTTTATAAAAATCTGTTGCTTATAGGGATTGAGAAGTGCTATTTCTTGTTATCAAAAAGAAAATAACTTGATTAAAACTTTAATAGTTTTGAATAGGTTAAAATCATATCCAGAATCAGCTTAAGATAGAATAATCAGAAAGGAGTGAAACTTTAAAATTGCTAAGATACTGGCTTCTTCATGGTAATTTTTTCTATTTTTAGACAAATATTTCAACATGAGGAAGAACCAATGTAAGGAAAGTTTGGATATTTACATCAAGTTCCTTGGAAGAACAACCAAATTGGCACAGTTTTTGAAAGTTGCAGAGGTATAGAAATCCATTTCTACCACTGGCTTTTCTGCTTTTTTTTTTTTTTTTTTTTGCATTAGTTTACTATCAGGTATAACTATACTTTTTCTCCCCTACCATCACCACACAAACATTCAGAAATTGTTAGTAGTTTTAACTACTCCGTAAATGTTAAAACTAAAAACTGAGGTTAAGTGCTTCAAATGTACTATCCAATGCACTTGTGCTCAAAAGGAATCTTATAAGGACTTCTTTTTGTAGCCATGAGGATAACCAGTACCAAAAACAACTCTAAAGCTGGACCAAAATATATATGACATAAATCTTTTTTAGAGAGTGGATGATAGGTAGAACAGTTCTGTAGTCAGTGAGAGAAAGAAACACATGAGATAAGCCTCATGTCTTGCCTGACTCTTAGGACCCGAGCAGGATAAATACAAAGAGAAACACACCTAGGCACATGATAGTCAAACTTCTGAGAACCAAAGAGAACAAAGATATTTACCCACAGGAGAACAACAATATGAATAATGGTGACTACTTGAAAAATTAGAACACATTTGTATGATATCCAAAATGCAGCTTAGCTCTTCCCCAGACAGCAAAGATTCAATACCTGGCAAGTCTTTTCTTTTAGAGTCTATCCTTGGGATAAATATAAATATATACTTAAGTATACAGGGCATACTTTAGCCTGATATGATACCAGCCGAGGAAGACTTCATGTTCTTGGGGTATTTTCTCTTTCATTTATATGGTGATCTCTCAGTTACTTTTTTTGTTGTTGCCACTCCCTGCTGTAATGTGTATTTTTTCCCCTTTTTTGTGAATTCAGCAAGTTGGAATTGACCAGAGCAACATTCCTTATCTTACTCAGGTCAGTGTATCTCTCCTATGTATTGAAGTGACTTTTTTGTCTTTATGCTTATAATTTTATTATATTACTCATCATCTGAGACTTTGTCCTTTGCCCTATACTTACATATATGTGCATTTTAATTTTCCCATAAGTATTATTATCACTCCCACACACATATGGTGACTCATGTTATAACAACTAGACCATGCTGTTAAAATGAGCAGTGGAAACAGAAGGGTATTTGGAATAATGAACTTAAATTTGACAGCTGCCTTGACCACCTTCAGGAATGTGATCTCAAGTAACTCATTTCTATTCTCTGTTCCTCATTTCTGCAACTACAAAATGGGTGTAATGCTATTGCCTATCTCATAGCAGTGTTGTAAGAATCAAATGAGCTCAGGCTTTTTCATCTGGAAATGCCTGTGTTCCATCCTATTTGTACCATGGGACTTCAGAAATAGGGCTGCTGGCCCAGCCTGGAACTGCTACAGAGTGCTTTCCTGCTCTAGGCAATGGAATGCTAAAAATATAGTCAGTGTGGAAGGAATGTGGACTCCACATATCTTTCCAAGGTCTCCATTATACTGTTTACTTCCTGTTCATCTTATCCTGTTTGTATGACATCATAGATACAGTGGATTAATTTGATGTTCTGAGGGGTGACCAGATGGTCTAAACTTCTTCCAGCCCAATTATGACAGAAGATGAGAGGGTTAACACAGCCCTGGGTCAGAGCTGTAAATTATACTATTATCCATTCCATGTGCCTGTGAACTCTCTGAATCACACTTCTGACAGTTATAGAAAGGAGCACATTCCCCCAACCAATAGCCACACACCATGTACCTGAGGCTGTGTTAACTCACCTCTACCAAAGAAACTATAGTGGCTGGTGCAGTGGCCGCAATTGGCTCCTACTTGATTGGTTTTACTGTAGTTTGTCATTCTCCAGAGCCTGACTAATTTTGATGGGGATGGGGACCATCACCCTTGCATCTTTTTTTTTTTCCTAATCCTTTTTTTTAAATTTCGGCATATTATGGGGGTACAGATTTTAAGGTTTCAATAAATGCCCATTCTCCCCCTCCCCCCACACTGCATCTTTTGTATCTTCAAGATCGGCACTAATTTCTGCCATCCTCCTGTGAGGGGATCTTATTTTTTATTTACTATTTTGCTTAGGAGAGGGGAAGGGGCTATTTCAGAAGCATGTCCCCAGCTGAACTTTACTGCGACTTAACTATAGTTATAGGGCTAGGGGCCAGGGAGGGGATATGGGGGCAGACCCTGATGGAGCATGTAACTTGTTGGGTAGAGGCTTCTGTATCATCTTCGACAAAGGAAGCTCAGAGGTTTCTGGAAAATATGGAGACTCAGGACTTTCACAGCCATCCTTCAGCTATCTCCATCTGATATATCAGTGCTTGGCATGGCACACCTGCCTTGGTTGTGACTGGAAGAATGAAGGCTTATCTGAGATAACACATGTAGAGTGCTCAGATGGTGCCTGGTTCAGGTGGCAGGGAAGCATATAATAAATGAGCCACAAACCTAGCCCTTGAGTTCCTGAAGAAGGTGGAACAAAAACTATAGAAGCATTCCTAGATATCTACCAGAATGTAGTCCTCTGATTTTTTTCTACATTGATGTATGGGAAGAAGCCTGTGAAGAGAGAAGGCGAAGATGTAGGGGGAGAGAGGGTAGTATATTGAGTAAGGTCCCTTAGGGAATGAGAAGATATTGGATACAGAACACAGTGGAAGCAATGGCCTCAAATAAGAGGATAGAGGAGGCAAGGAGGAGAAGATGGTTGCAGAGACAAATAAAATGTTAGGTTTGGTGGCAGAGAAGGAGGGAGTTTCTGTGTGATGACCTGTCAATCCTTGAAGGAAAGGAATATGTTCTCTCAAGTATACACAGCACCAACATTCCTTCATGTACAGGTAAGTACAAAGGGGGCTTGTATATAGACATCCAACCCCTCAGAGTGGTCCACAATGGAAACCACTGTTGAGTGAAATAATGTACAACTTCCCGAATGAGAATTCAGATGACCAGTGGTGGGAAGATAGACAGATAATGAGAATGTCTAGGTTGGTAGGGTAGAAGATGGGGTTTCATTGCCTTATGAAACCTCATGAAACCTTTAATTGCCTCGTGATGGGGTTTCATGGCACCATAACTGGTGGATTTCAGTCAACATTCATTCATAAACACATGCTTGACCCCTAGTCAGTTATAATGAATGAGACACGATCCTAGCCCCTGAGTTCCTGAAGAAGGTGGAACAAAAACTATAGAAGCCTCCCAAGATATCTACCAGAATGTAGTCCTCTGATTTTTCTCTACATTGATCTTTCTTCCCGGAGGGAGGTGGTGTGGGCAGAAAGGGGACCTTTGCTGGAAACCATAGCCTCAGCTATTGTTGAGGCACAGATGAGCATTAACTGTCCAGCACTTGTGGCCTGAGCTCTAAGGGACATCTGCCAGGAGGAGTACCCAGGTAGACAGCTACATTTCCCACTGGGCCACCCTCGTCCTTACCTCAGCTCTGGTCCCCAGGATCCCTGGATCAAAATTGAAGTACTTGGCTGCAGGAGAGTCTGAGAAAGGCAGGCAAGGATCTTGCTGGTAAATTTTTATGCAGATCCCCATTCATTTCTCTGTAAATCAACTCTTTTTACTGGAATAGCATCCTTATCAGTATGCCGGCCCCTGGCCCTCAGCCAGTACAGAAAGTCATTTGTCATGGCCTTCACTTGGCAGAACTGCTCCCACAGCAATGTGCTTTCTTGGGTGTCCTCGAAATCCTGGAATGGAGTAAGTTGCAGGGCTATGTGGGAGAGGAGGGAGATAGGAATCAAGTCAGCCCCACCTTTGCCCCACTCAGTCAGTCTCCTTGAGAGAGGTCTGCTCAACACAATACACAGTTTCAAGGAGCCTTTTCAGCCAATCTGCTGCTAGATCCCACAAAGGGGCATCAAGGCCTTCCTCTGTGACTGTGGATTACCACTTTCTCCTTGTGATCGTGCTCCCAGCAGTTTTTACTTTATGTGAATTGATGCTAAACCGCTAGGTTTATACTGCTCACCATTTTAGCGCTCTCTTCTGGATTGTCCCTTTCTTAAGAGGAAATCTCCCTCATTTCCTCAGTTAATCCCCTCTGCCTTGATTTTAACATCACCTGGGAGTCACAGAGCCTCCTGTGAGCAGCCCTCTTGTGTGTCTGTCTCTGCCCCTCCCCTTTCCACCATTCCCTGCAGTTCCTGTTGTGTATGGCTCCCATAAACGCAAGTAGTGCAGTGTGTTGTGTCTCCAATCTGATGCATTTTTATTTTTTCACTAAAATGCATAGTTTAGTTTAAACATAATGTTTCTGGGCCACACTCCTTGTCGGAACTCCAGGGGCACAACTGCGGGGACCTGCCGAACAGTTCCACCCTGACCTGTGCCTAGATGGGTTTTCCCTCAGTTACCACAGTGTTTCTGTAGTTTTGGCGGTGGGAGAGGGACTGTGTGCCTCGTGAAGGAGGTCTTACAGCCTTGCATCTATGCTTTTCATGCAAAGCACCTTGGTGCATTTTAAGTTGTCTTTTTAAGCATTTTTCTGCCAATCTTGAATGCTGAGATCACGTAGCAGTGTTTCCACAAATTTGTAGCTGGCAGTGAATTGTATGAAAGCAAAGCAGACAAAAAAAATGGTTTTGACCAATTTTATTCAAATACTAATAACTTTTGCTATTTTTTCTCTCAGAATTTTGCCTTAGCTCTGTCCACACTGTTAGGTCTGAAGACAAGAGAGAGACACACATGAAACCTCAATGTAGCAAAATGCTGTTTATTTTGAGTATCTAGGTGCAGATGGGTGGAGGCCAAAGAGCATCCACAAGAGAAAACGGGTGAGCCTTGGGTTTTATAGAGTGTTTTTCCGGGAGGAGAAAGTAAGTGGGCCAGAACAGCCATTTGAAAGTAATTCTTTATCAAACAACCAGCTCCTAGGACCCCTGCCCCAGTCACAGCCTCCCTTCAGCTCTGGCATCATTCTTTTTTTTTTTTTTATTTGGCATATTATGGTACAGATTTAAGGTTTCAATAAATGCCCATTTCCCCCCTCCCCCCAAAAGTCTGAGTCTCCATCATGACCATCCCCAAGATGGTGCACATCTCACTCACTATGTATGTATATACCGCCCTCCCCCCTCCACCTGCCCAATACCCTGTTACTGTAGCACCTGTGTCCACTTAGGTGCTACTCAGTTGATACCAGTTTGCTGGAGAATATATCTGGTGCTGTTTTTCCATTCTGGGATACTTCACTTAGTAGTATGGGTTCCAGCTCTAACCAGGAAATATAAGGTGTGCTATATCACCATTGTTTCTTAGATGGAATAGTACTCCATGGTGTACATATACCACATTTTATTAATCCATTCTTGGATTGATGGGCACTTGGGCTGTTTCCACAGCCTTGCAATTATGAATTGTGCTGCTATAAACATTCGAGTGCAGGTTTCTTTTTTGTAGAGTGTCACTGGATCATTTGGGAGATGCCCAGCATGGGATTGCTGGATAAATGGTAGATTCACTTGTATCGCTTTAAGGTATCTCCATATTGCTTTCCACAGAGGTTGAACTAGTTTGCAGTCCCACCAGCAGTGTAGGAGTGTTCCTCTCTCTCCGCAACACGCCAGCATTTATTGTTTGGAGATTTTTGATAAAGGCCATTCTCACTGGGTTAAGTGATATCTCATTGTGGTTTTGATTTGCATTTCCCTGATGATTGAGATTTGAGCATTTTTCATATGTTTGTTGGCCATTCTTCTGTCTCTTTAGAAAATTTCTGTTCAAGTCCTTTGCCCACTTTTAATGGGTATTTGATTTTCTTCCTAATTTTCGTGAGTTCTAAGTATATTCTAGTTATCAGTCCCTTATCGGAATGCATAGGGACAAAATTTTTCCCCATTCTGTAGGTTGTCTGTTTACTTTCATGACTATTTTGGCTGTGCAGAAGCTTT